CTAATTATGCCATCTGGTCAAAGAAATCGATTACGTACTCCTTTACTTCTTTGGGTCTTTTATCGCTTTCGTCTTGGACCCCATCCTCTTCCTAGTACCAACCATACTGTGACTATAGAATATAATTGACATCAGTTCCTCCTAACGAACCGTAAATAGAGTATAACGAATCCTAATATACGCTCTAAATTTTAAGAGACGCAACGCAGAAGTCACAAAATGAAAAACACTCCTAAGGACACTTGAACTTGGAGTGCTTTGATACTAACTGTGATATCCCCCGGATTTCCGAATGCGGGTTGGCTAGGCCCACGCCCGAACACCCGAGGATATCAAAAACAAATCGGTAATAATCGAACACAGAGTACAAAAAGAATAAATAAATATGCTAAAATGGGAACTAGAATAATAATCCATTATAAAAATCTCAGAATAAATTTCCATTGATTAATAAATCCTTCTAATACAATTAATCATCCAAAATAATATAACTTGGATTAAGTACTTATTGACCCCTATAAAAAACCAGACTGAATAAATAACTGAAATAATGTTTACGTCTGAAAACTGAAACTTGAACAAAACTCCTAAATAGAATCGAAAAAATGAAGTAGACTGATCCCTACTCGGCACGAACAACCTTTACTCCTGACAATCACCTGAAAAATAATGGTGGGTCAGGCCCACAAACAAGTTCTACTCTACTACAGTCCAAACAAAGATCCGATACACGTATACATTCTAGTCAATCCAACAATAACTAGTAATAACTAGTATATATATATAAATACACACTAAAGGAACCTCACTAGACTATAAGGTTACCTCAACCTGAATAGTAAACAACATGCAAAACGCACATATAGTGAGTATGAGTACCTAGACCTACTAAAGCACACAACTACACTATATCTAGCTACACATCCCTGGCAATATACGAACCCTAACCATAAATCCTGAGACTCAAGCTCATATCATGGCTCGTAACTATATATATATAAAATCCATCCTAAAACATAAAATAAAATATCCGGTATATCGTCCAATTGATTCAGTTGACATGATATGAATAAATAGGACTCAACATTATGGTTAATTCATTCTCTTATAATATAAATAGATAGGACTTAACTTCTTTGGTTAATCCGTCCATAAAATGTCACCATCTCATACTGGTGCATTACATCCATACAATTCAATAATTGATTTAACAAATAAAGTAACACATCAAATAATCTATAAATAAACATAACAACATAATATCATGCTATTACCAAATAAGAATGACTTATAACTTATTTCAGCTTCCTTTATCATATATCCCACACAAACTTAACCTTAAACATGCTAATATTTTATTTCACAGCCAAGTAAACATTCTCCAAATACAATTCATGCTAAACATTTAATCTCAATTGATAGAACAAATTAGAAAGATTAAATCCATTATTCTTTAAAGAATTCAAATAGCATGCATCGTTATAATCAAATCTATTTAAAATTTATTTAAACTCATACATAGTCCCTATTCAATGTTCTGGACCCCTCAAAATCAATTAAGGTCAATTAAACACTGTTTACGAAAATTCCCCAGGTAAAGCTCGAGCTTTTATCCTGATAGCTCGAACTTTCTATCCATGGCTTAAGCTCTGCATCAATAGCTCGAGCTTTGCCTCCAAGGCTCAAGCTTTTTATTTATGGCTCAAGCTTTACTTCCAAGGCTTGAGTACTGTTACGCGAATCAGCCCAGAAAATCCAACTGTAAGCCTGTTCTTCATTGTTAAGAGTCCTAAGCTCCAATCTAAGTCACATGTAATCCATATTAATTTATTTTAGATGATTTAACATGTAAAGATCCAACTTAAACACCAAATCACACATCAAAATTCAAGAATCATTTAAATCAAGAATATATATGTAAACACATAAAACCCTCTGTTCTAAACCAATTTAAGCATGCAAAATTATTCAATTTTAATGTTTAAGTATCCTGAAATTTTCTAGGTATGTATAGAAACACAAATCAAAGGGAAAAAGATAAAAGAAAAACTTATCTTAAACTTTCGGATCGAAAGTTAAACTTCTTCTTCCGTGATCTTCTTCTCTAAAGGTTCTTCTCCTCCTTTCTTCATCTTCCTCCTTCCCTCTCTAACTCTCTCTGTAAAATATATTACGTGATACATTTTACAGAGAGAGTTAGAGAGGGAAGGAGGAAGATGAAGAAAGGAGGAGAAGAACCTTTAGACACGTGATATATTTCTAACCCCCTTTTACAAACCCATAATTATATATTTATAAGCTAAATAATAACCCCACTCTTTTTCCCAATCCAAGTCAACTTAATAAAGAAAAAAATAAAATTAAAATATTAAAAAAGTAACTTAAAATATGTTACATATATAATCTATGCATATCCTTATTAAATAAATAAAATATATACATCAGATTATTTATTAATACTAAAGTTACCATAATATTAAACTGTAACTTAAAATACGATACGTATATAATCTGTGTATATCCTTATTATATAAATATATAAAATATATACATCAGATTATTTATTAATACTAAAGTTATCATAATATTAATTAATAAATTACTTTTCTTTTATATATATATATATATATACAACTATTCATAGGTAATTATCCATACCCATTAAACCTCCTATCCAAGTAATCCATAGAACCTAATTGGTTGGCCCATTACTACTAACTATAATCATAAAATAAAATAAAATAAAACATTTAATCATTTAATTTATAATTAATTACAATTAATCAAATATATCATTTAAGCACACAATCTAATAAACAAATAATACAAATAACACCTAGACAAATAGCCAATTAATCAAATAACACTTAATTCAATTAAACACATAAACAATTAGTCAAATAATTAATTAAACAATTAAAAATATAATTAAAACAAATAAATAAATATCGAGACTATCCTTTTAAAATTAAGAATATTACATATATAAACTGATTCACACAAACCACTAAACATATTATATATATTTATATATATATGGATAGTTAAACTCCAATTAATCATTAAACCCAAAAACTAGCCAACACCACAAATTATGTATAGAATTTCAAGCGAAAATAAAGCTTTCAAAATTGCCGTTTTTAACCTGGAAATAACTACTACCAGTGTAAATTTTTTTCTTTTTTTTGATAAGTAACTACTACCAGTGTAAATCAACATATAAATTCATATATATATATATATATATATATATATATATATATATAAATAAATAAATCAATACACAGATATAGAGAGAGAAGGAAAGAGAGAGACCTGAGCTTGACCTAGGGTTTGTAAGGTTCCATTGAGATGATACGATCAAAGATCCGAATGCGAGCCATGGAGAAGTATATCATGTTGGTCTGAGTGAGCGATGAAGAGAGAGAGAGAAAGAGAGCTATTATCAATCATGGCGGTCGAGATCGACGGGGAGAGAGGTTTGCGATTGGGCGTGTTTTGGTTGGAAATCTTTAGTTGAACCATAGGATTCAAATCGCTGATTTGGAATGTTTGCGATTACAATGCAATCCCAATTCTAAGTTTATGATATCCAAACAACGGATTTGGTATTGGGACTTTCAATCACAATACCAAAGCTCCAATCCGGTGCTGCCAAACATACCCATAGGGTAATTGTCATTTTTTATAGACCTCAACCCGAGTGATCTATCCATGACCTAGATAAAGCTTGGGTGTAATTGTCAGGCCTTTTGCTGATGACATTCTTTTGCAACCTTGATTTTGTCCAAACCCTCATGAGACTTTGAACCAGTCTTTCACTCTTTCTGGCCTGAGCCTTAACCACTCAAAAAGCCTAGCTTTCTTTGCAGAAGTTGATACCCAAACAAAGTAAGATATTTTAAACTTGTACCAGTTTGAACCTGGCTCGTTGCCAATCACTTACCTAGGACTCCCTCTAACGTCTCCTCTCTCACCAACAGATTACAAATCCCTAGTGGAAAGAATAACAGCTAGAGTGAAGAACTGGACTGAACTAGGAAAAAAAAAAAAAACTGGACTGCAAGATTTCTATCATCTGCAGGTAGATCAGTATTGATAAAATCAATATTAACAGGTATTCAATCATACTGGTCTCTTACATTTGTGCTACCTAAGTAAGTGTTGGATCAAGTTCTCAGATGCTTCTAATGGCCTAGTCATGCTCTAAAATCTTTAGGGGCAAAAGTTGCATGGAAATCCATGCGCAGACCTAAAGTTCAAGGTGGGTTTGAACTTCCTGATCTAGAATTTGTCAACAAAGTTGCAAATCTCGAAGCATATTTGGAAACTCTTCAACAAAAAGGAAGACAACATGTGGGTTAATTGGACTGACAGATACCTTACTAAGAGGAAGAGCTTCTGGTCAGTCAAAGCATCCTCACTCAGTTCAGGTATGTGGAGAAAGCTTCTAAAGCTTAGAGGCATGGCTAGAAACTTAATCAAGCACAAAGCTTTGTCAATTGATGTGTTACTTTTTGACCAACTAATGTTGGTCATTTGTAGTTTTAGTTTTATTGTTGATGCATGCCTTATAGGCCTTGTTTGTCTCCCTAGAGAAACTTTTTTGTAAAGTCCTCTTTTATTCAATACAACTTACCACATTTAGCTATTAAAAAAAATTCAAAATAAGCGTTTAGCACATAAACCCAAAGCATGCCAATTAGTTTCTTCACTGAAATTAAAATAGTGAGAGAGAAGCAAGTTTAATAGTTATTTGTTAGTAAAAAATCAAAGCTTAAGTCAGAGAAAAGCAGGTTTAAAATTCAGCTGAAGCCAACAAGGGCATGTTACAATTCTTGTAGCTGTGCCGCTATATTGTTTTTACATGATTTGGCTCTATTCATGATTTTACATAATTCAGATTCAGCTGATGCCAACATACTGCTACCACTGATAAAACATCATATACAGTTGCAGCTAGGATTTCAACCATATATTCTATTAGATAAAAGGCATACCTTGAGACAAAACCGTGCTGATAAATCCTTGTCAAAAAACACCGAGGGAAATCACAGCAAGTGATGAGAAGAAGACGTTATAGAGGGGCAGAAGCCTATCATTGTATGCAGGCTTCCCGGAGATTGATACATTTGCCTCATATAAGATGACCGTAAAACCGAATGTGACATTCTTACAGAAGAAGTAGCAAATCTGCCAAGTTGGCAATAGGAGCAAATCAACTGATGAAGTATTGAAAATGTAAATACACCATTTAGATTTTAAACCATTTAGAAATTTCAAACCAATAATTTTTTTGAAATTTAGGGATTTCATTTTGATCTTGACAAATTCAAACAGGTGTGAAGGGAAGGAACTAGAATGATAAAGAAAATCTCGCACCTCAAGTATATTTAAATTTAATTATATAAAATTCAGTACCATTTTTGTTGAGATCCTTCTGTAACACCAGTGTCCATGCACCAGAAGCGCGCGCTCCAAAAATCGGAACTGAGCTATTGCAATATCACTACACATGACTGCCTGATATTTGTAAAACATAGAGTTCAAAGAAATGAAGTAAAACATTGTAAACAAGCACCTTTTATAAGAAATGACAAATGTATTCAGTTATTGGTTGAGCACCTGCATTCTTAGTGATTCATGTGAATCAGACCCATGAATCACTAAGGTGCTCTAATGTGAAGAGTAAAAGCTAAACCTTGAAACAATATCGACTTACAAGTGTTAAAAGAGAGCTTTCATGAAGATGCTCTGAATGAAATTACATTCTTATGAATGAACTCATTGTGAGAGGTCCTTGTGATAAAGACTTACTCTTCCCTAAAGATTGGCAGTGCAAACCATCTCCATTTTGTTTATGTGAGTTGTTGAATATGTACAATCTCAAAGATAAGTTCTGTGAATTTGTAAGAGAGGCATAAGTACCACAAAAAAAAAAGAATACCCTCAAACAAAAATAACATCACATTCAACAAGGACAAAAACACATAATCCCATCTTTTTACTTGTACAACTTCTAACAATGTCATTTGATTACTTAAAAAAAGAACTCATTGTATTCTCTAGTTAACAGAATCAATTATCTATTAACACCTCTAATTAAGAAAAAAACAGACACATTAGGCCTCCTGAAGGGGAAAAAAAAAAAGAAACGAAAAACCCATCAATATGATTATATGTAATCCCTTTTAAAGGCCTTAAAATGATCAAAATGGATATAAACCCATACGCTAAGCATGATTTTCATCTGCATCGATAATTTCTGCCTTAGGTGAGACACGTCAAAATCATGTCAACTCTCTAAGTATTACCACTCCATTATCAGCAACCTTCTTTGAGATGGACTCAATATGCATTGGGGATTTAGCTAATATAAGATTTATAAACTCCAATTCAGCCGCCACCCTCTGTCAAACTCCAATTCAGGCCTTTTGCCAGATATGTGACACGATTTTTATCTGCATCTTTGCGGATAATTTCTACTTTAGGTGCGACATGTGGAAATCGTGTCAACTCTCCATTATCAGCAACCTCCTTTGAGGACTCAATAAGCATCGTCTCTAGCATCGGGGATTTTGCTAATATAAGCTTTATAAACTCCAATTCGGGCCTTGTGCCAGAGTAGAATTGCATCTTCACTTCTCGAAGTTGATTGAAAGAGACATCTGAGTAGAGTTGCATTTCTAAAAATTCTAAAACAGGTCCTGTATCATCATCTTTGCTGGTAAACATCTAGAAAGAAAGTGGAAACACCTCAATCAAATATTATACATACAATATAAGAACTTTTGCAACAATGAACTGTAATAGCTTACCTCAATTTCAAGTTTTTTCAAGTTGGGGGCGCTTTTAATCAAGCACAGAACAAAGGAGACCTCTGCAATTTCTCGACAATATACTTCATCTAGTTGAAGAACTTTGAGGTGGTCTAAGGTAAACAGGAGCCTCTCAGGTACACCACCCACAGTCAAGAACTAAACAAAAGCAGATAAAGACTTAAGAAACATGATTTTCTTTGCAATTTCAAACTCACGAAATAAAAGCTCTAAAGCTAACTTACCTTCAAAAAACGACGTCCCAATTGCAAAGTCTCAATTACAGGTAAGCAACCAAAAACATCAATCATTTGATACGCCTTTCCGTCTTCTTCATCATCATCTGAAGTAATCAAAACTACTGCAAGAAGAGGGGCATTTTGGAAATGAATATATTTGAATCTGGCATTTGAGCTTAAGAACTTGAGATTTGGAGCGTCAATTTCAAGGTTGTCATAATACATGGGCCCTTCCAGTTTCAGCCGTTCAAGTAGTGGGCAACTAGAAACCAACTTTTCAAGTACACCATCACCAAAGTCCACTAAGATAAACTCTAGACTTGTGATCCTACTAAATCCTTTAAATGTAAGAGGAGGGTCAAATGAACAATTACTGAGATACAATTGTCTTAGTTCTTCACATGAAAAGAGTGACGAAGGAAACCTATAGCCATTGAGATCACAAATATCTATAGCAAGTTCCCTAATGCCATTCTTTGACAGGAAAACCATCAACGGGTGAATCTCAGAACAGATTTTTAGTGCAGAAATAGAGAGGGTGAACTTCACTATTGGTCCATTATGAAGTAATAACACTTGAAATATAATCTTGAAAAGTTTGCTATGGAGTAACGGATCGTCGTTTTCCATTGAATCTTTGACCAATGTATCATCAAAGACAAGCTGTGGGAGGTTGACCCACTTATACCTCCATTTCCTTGACAAAATACTTGTCCTCACAGCATCTCGCAACGGCAACAACATTAGTATGTTTTCCGTTACCTCGCTTGGAAGGTTACTCATTATATCAGTGGCTGAACTTCTAGCAATCTTCGGATGATTATCTTTCTTTTCACTTCGATCGGCCATTTAGTAACAATTATCAACAATCCTGAAAATCAAAATACACAAATCAAGCCACCCGACAGCAGGAGTCTATATAATACTACCTCTAACTTCTATTATACTTTGTAGCACAAATCAAAGGAACAGTAAGACATAATATTTGAAAGAAAATATTTACAGTATCAAGAAGAAAATATTCACACAGAGAGTTATTCATAATATCTATTTGATATAGTTACAACACTCTAACTAACACCGTGATCAACCAGATTCTGCAACTCTGCAGTACTAAAAGAAAAAATACACACAGATTTATTTCAGAATAACTATTTGTTCAAGCAATCAATTATCATGCCATTGTTCCATTCTGTTTTTTCAAATTCACAAGCCGAGCGAGAAACCCATTGCAAGAAAGCCCATTTCTCATCAATCTATTTAATCTAATCTAGGAGGCAATTAAAGAAATTCATCTATAAAGTAACATCAAGATCAACAATGACCAGGCAAGAAACTCAATTGAATGTTTAAAATTGCTCCAAATAGTTCTGAATTGCAAAACAATATCCCTAATTTTGGTAGGAAAGAGAAGCTAAGAAGACAAAACAACATGCCATTCTTAAACAATCATCCATGGCAGCTTTTCTTATTTAAATAGTCAATCGCCTAGAGCACTGAACTTAATGCATTAATTAGGCATAGTTCTACTGAATTAATACAAGAAAATGAAGTATTTGTCAAATTTAATTTTGTTCTTGAATTCTTCTATATGTCATAAAACCCAGTAAAACACATTCCTTCAAAATCTAAATGAAACCCAACAATATTATAGATTAAGAGATCAAACCCATTTGAAAAATTAATCAGATCACCCCAATAAGAGAATGCATAAGCTGACATAAACATACGTAAACCCTAATTTGGTAGTATGAAAAACCAAGCAAACAAATACGGAGTAAAAGATACCAGAAATCGAAGAGACCAAGCTCGTTTACTGTCAAAACTATCTTTCGCCGGACGAGAGAGAGAAGGGGCAATGGATTTTCTGTTGAGAGATGCGAATTTAACGAGAATAGAAGACACTTCTCTTATTATTTGAAGTTTTGAACAAGTTTCGGCTGTGTCTCAAGTTATTTTAATAAATAGTCAATTTATTTTACCTGCTGTTTCAATTGATTAATTTGATTGATTGTTACCATTAAAAAAAAACACTTTTTGTTTTTTCTCAAAATTCCGACAAATATATCATTACCTGCAATATTACCTTTAAGAGGGCTCTAAAATTCATCGTACTCTTTAAAAAGAGAAATTATACATTTTCTGTTAATGCACATTAATTTTTGTAATTAAATGTTAATTTTTTTTAAAAAAATAACAATTTATAACGTTGATGAAGGATTAAAAATAAAAACATACTACTCGAATAAAATCCCAAAAATTTTAATTAAACGCGATTGTTTTGAACAAAAATGGAGAAATAATTTAATAATTTATACAATATAACAACCCAAACTAGGGTTTCGGATCATTAACCGGGTCCTTACCCAAACTCAAGGACACACTAGAGGTAAAATGGTCATTTTACAATATGAGAGGTTAATATGCCCTTAAACTAGTCAAATGAAGTTTAAACAATCATTCTAGTCATTCCATGACATTTAGTAAGATCTACGGTCTTCGGTTATGAATTTCCAAAAGCGCACTTACTCGGTTCAAGGTTAATTCCGATACTGTTCTACTAAAACCACCATAACTCTCAACATGAATGGAATTTGAAGATGAGGTTGGTCTCATTAGAAAACGAACTCAAAATCCTTAAAAATGGACTCAAGAATGACCTAATTTGGGTTTGAAATGAAGAAGTTATAACCATTCGAAATTAAGTAATCAAAGTTGATAAGCTGACAAGAGAAAAATACACACTGGGAGACTTGAACCGGTTCAGTGAGGCTATACCGGTTCAAGATGGGCAGTGTGCCCATTCAAGAACCAAAAGCACCCCCTTTGAACCGATTCAATGGGGCTGAACTGGTTCAAAATGGCCAAAACCTTAAAATCAGCCTAGAAAGCTTAAAAATGTACATTTGTGCCTATAGGCACCCATTTGGTCCCTTGGTGACCGGACCTATCATCCAAACCTATCCCAAATCATGCAATTAATAGTGTAAAAACATAATTAAACCCCCGTGCCTTCAATTAAACCGAATACAAGTCCAATACATCGTTTGAAGACCGAATTACACAAGTCTCATTTTATACAATTTGAAAAGATTTAAATACAAAACTGAGGCCTTTATTGCCAAAATTACATAGCTTTAATAAAAATGAATTAAAATAATAATTACATCATTATCCATTGATGCCTATCATTCACCGGCTCATCTCCGAGTTCCTAAAAAATATTAATAATGATAGGGTGAGCTCAACAACTCAGTAGAGAAAGCCTAAAGTACATTCCTAAAAATCCCGTGAGCCACAACCAAAGAAAGAGAAATCAACGAAAAGAGATCATGGGATTATAAGCCATATCAATCATACATGAATTTCACAAATTCATTAACCATACCATTAAAAATGAAATGCAAATATTCCCTTCTTTCTTTCCAACCCAACCTCACTAAAACCTTCTTAACTATCACCTTGACTTACCACACAAACCACCGTTTCATTTTCTAACCTTCCTTCCCATATCAACCTTCATCCTCTCAACTCACCACCATTCCAAGAATATGTATGTCATACAACCATTCATCAATATACAAGTCATGGTTTACATCATAATTATATTAAAACATTCAAACACAAAAATTGATCACATAAATCATACTTTCACATTTTCTCATAAAAGAAATAGCATGCTTGGCACAAATACAAGAAAAACCATCATATTCTCAACTCAAGTAATTAGATCAAAACTATCTCATGCTTAACATCACAACCAAAAATATACAACCAAGCATGTTTCACAATATCAAGATATTCATGTAAGAAAATTCATAAAATTCACTAAAATCATAGGAAATTCGTAATTTAGACTTTCCCTACCTCAAGATGATTAGCCAAACAAGCCCTTAGCAAGCCCCAAATTTTGAAATCCTTTAAAACCCTAACAATATTGGCCTCAATTTGAAGCTCATGCCAAGCTCTCCAACCTCTCTTCCTCCTCTCCTTCAAAATCCCACTTTAAACTCTCCAAATCAAAGCATTTTCTTTAGAAGACATAAATGTGTGCTTGTGTATCAATATAGAAAGAGATAGAGAAAGTGATAGAGACAAAGAAATGGTGCCCGAAATGAGAAGGAGAAAGGGGTAAAGTGGTGGTTTTGCATCTTCTATGGCCAAGGTTGTGCCAAGTGTCACAATTTGAGTGATTTCTAATTCAATCTAAGTTACTATAATGCCCCTCATCTTTCAATGAAATGCCATTCTTACCCACAAATACCTACCTCTAATATATAGATATAGATGTATACACATATATGAGAAAAGTCCATTATGCTCCTTTCTTAAAATGACAAAATCGGGAGAAGTTCCCGAGTCCGGAAATCGTCCCGACTTCTAAAAAATTCTAAAAATAATGATGTCACTTGTAATTGACTTAACCCTTGACTCGATGAATGACCAAAACGCCCCTCAGGGCCCGCGTGGCACGCAAAACAAGCTAAGGATTAAAATAATCCAGAAAATCAAATAAATTCCAGAAATTAGAAAATAGGAAAAATCGGTAACATTACAAACAAGAAGTAGCTTGTTATAGAATTTTCATTTAACAAATAATAACTAAGAATATTAGCATGTTATTATTTTTATTGTATTGACTTCACAAAACTTTAACAAAAATGCATAAGAAAGAAAGTTCATGTATTTTTATTTATTTTTAATATCATATGTGTGTATATTATTTAAATATAAATGTAAAAATAATATGTCACAGCACTATGTAACAAAAATGCATAAGAAAGAAAGTTCATGTATTTTTATTTATTTTTAATATCATATGTGTGTATATTATTTAAATATAAATGTAAAAATAATATGTTGCAGCAATAATCAATTTATTGTGACAGAGATATATACATATTGAATTGTCTCCATAAGACTCATAAGACATGACTCCTTTTATGAACTCTTATTTATTTTTGAATGCTAAAGCAAATAAAGTCTACAATACTCTTGAGATACGTTGACACATAGTACCTCTCTCCATTAGGAGGCATAGTACCTCTCTCTATTAGGAGGCATTAAATGAAAGGATATATGTATCAACGTAACCCCGAAACCCTTCCACATGGGTCACGTAAAGTACGGGTTTTTCACCAACGAGCCACAAAGTGGGGTGGCTTGATTACTGGCTCACATATGGTCCACTAATAAACCAAATACCGCTCACTCATATGGGAATTCTTCATCCAAACTTGTATGTTAAAGTTGATAGCCTAATTTTCAATTATCAATGGGCAATTCTGACGCCTCACCCCATTCCATTTCTTAACAATCCAATCTTCATCGATCAGTTCAGCTCCATTGCCTCTCCCACCACAGATGAAGACAACTCGGTCTCCTGGACTCCGTCACCATCCTCTTCCTTTTCACTTTCTCACACTCTCTACTACCTTTATCCGGCCTCACCTAATTTGGTTCGAATTCCATGTTCCCAAATTTAGCTTCATTTCTTGGTTGGCTTTGAGAGAGAGGTTAAAAACTCTTGATAGCCCTGTTGTTGTCTATTGGCATATTCCCAATGCTTGTCATATTTGCTCATCAAGGGCTGGAGTCCATTCATCATCTATATTTTCTTTCAATGCTATTTCACCTCCACAATTTGGAATCGATCACTTCAAGAATATTGCTATTGCAGGCTTTCATTTGACCCCCTACCAACCGGCCTGAACTTGTCAACTGTTGTTTACTCGACTCGAAGTCAAATGCTTTCCTGGTTCATTCATCCTCACTTCAACTATTTATTTCAATTGGAGGGAGATAAATGCTAGAGCCTTTATAGGGAAAAACTCTCACCCTCCATTCTCGAAGCATCATTGATCAGATAGAAAGACCATCAGATGCAGGCTAGCTTCTATTCACATCCTTGGGCAAATGGGGAGTAATAAGGAGCTCAACAATCTAATACTGCAGGGGTTCTCAAATTGCATATGGTCAAATATAGCTCATGGACTCCTGAACCTTTTCAGTTGATAGCTTTGTCAATTGATGTGTTACTTTCTGACCAACTAATTTCCGTCATCTGTAGTTTTAGTTTTCTATCACATCACACGTACCAAGAGATTGCAAATCTCTAGTAGAGAGAATAACTGCTAGAGTACGTGAAGAGCTGGACTGCAAGATTTTTATCATTTGCAAGTAGATTGATCAAATCAATCTTAGCAGCTATTCAATCATACTGGTCCCAAACATTTGTGCTACCTAAGAAAGTGTTGGATCAAGTGTAGTGAATCTTGTTTTCGGATGCTTCTTATGGTCTGGACATGCTCTAAAATATTCAGGGGCAAAAGTTGCATGGCAGTCTGTGCGCAGACTTAAATTCAAGGTAACCTTGGTAAGTCTTTATCTGAACCATATTTGGAAACTCTTCAGCAAAAAAGAAGACAACCTTTGGGTTAATTGGACTCACAGACACCTTATTAAGAGGAAGAGCTTCTGGTCAGACAAAGCATCCTCCCTCAGTTCAGGCATTTGAAGAAGGCTTCTAAAGCTTAAAGAAAAAGCAATTCCGAATAACTAAACAAAAGGCGATTAAGACTTGAGAGACATGATTTTCTTCGCAATTAATAAATTCTCTAAAACTACCTCACCTTCACAAAACGACATCCCAATTGCAAAATTTTCAAAAATTTTGTTCTATCAATTCTTTTGTCTATCAGTTAAAAAGGATACCTCGAATCTTATTTATCCAAAATTTTTTCTATAAAATTTTCTATGGAAGTTTCATTTATGATTGGAGGTGAAAACAATTTTTTGATTGTGGTAAACAACCAAAAACATCTATCATTTTAGATGTTAGAGCATTTTTTAAATAAATAAATTCGAATACACCATTTATGATTAAGAATTTGAAATTAGAAGTATCAATTTCAAATATTCAATATACATGAAACTTCCTATAAAATCAGTTAAACATGCGAGGTGGGAAGCATTTCAGTTGTTTACAAGTGGGGAAGACCTCCAGTATTTGCAAAAGCAAACTGTTGTGATTTTCAATTTCTGATAACGTTCTATTGTAAATTTATTAATACTAATCAACAATCCTGAAAATAAAAAATAAAAGGCAATTATATCAGAGTATCAACCACCCGAAAGCAAAAATCCATATGATACTTCCTCAATTTATATTTTAATTCGTGCAAAAAAAAAAAAAAAAAATTATTACTATGAAACCAGAAACCATGAAAAATCATTTGTTTTGAATCTATTTAATCTAGGAGGCAATCAATAAAACCGATGTATAATTTAACATCAAGATCAACAATGACCCTTAGCAAGAAACATAATTAAGTCCTTAATTAAGGCCCTGTTTGGTTGGGCTTCCTGTAGTCTCAAAACGGGCTTCCAAGTCCAAAAAGTCCTTCGCCAATAATAAAGAGCATTTAGTAAAATTTCTAAAGTCCGATTGACCAAAGCCAATAAAACATGCTTCTTAATCAACTTTCCGCAAGCTACGCACTTTTTTAATTAATAAATATAAAATTCCTATATTGTCTATTATTTAACCTATTCCATTTCTAAATTTCATTGCAAACTTTTATCTTTCTATTTTTGTATCATCTTTTTCCTTTGTTCTCTACCCAAAAAATTAAAAAATAATAATAATGCTGAGCAAAATTTCACAGAACTTTATTAAAATAAAAATATTGTTGAAAAACGATTCAACAAAAGAAGAAGAAAAATATTGAGGAGTTGCAGGAAAAAAAATACTATTGAATCATATTTGACTTCAAAGTCTGAAGAGTTCTAAGATTTATGAACTCTCATCGAAAATTCAATCCTATGTAGAATTCTAAATAATTTTTCTTTGTCTCTAAAATATATATATATATATATACACACACCCACACACAAAATATATATATATATATATATATAATTTCTTTTTTCTCCGCTATTAAAGTGATTTATAGTTATAAATAAGAACAAAAATAAAATATTTTTGTTACTATCTTTCTCTTTCGTTTTATTTTTCTTTTCTTTTTTTTTTCATCTCTTTCAACTTCTATCTTGTAGTCAAAGAAAAAAAAAATTCTACGATGTAGATTAGGTTAAATTTGTATAGCCAGATCTTCACTATGCCAATTAATTGTTGCTGCATCATTAGCAATTTCACTCCATTACTTTAATTATGATTTTTTTTTTCTTCCCTTCTTTGTACATTCCAATTTAACTCTTTACTATTATTCATGATTTATTAAGGATATAATTGTCAAGTTAAATTATAGTAATAGTTAAAAGAGCTTCAAAAAATTTATCCACCAAACAACTTTTTTGTTTTAAATTTTTTTCATCAAAATACATTTTTCAAAGCTATTCAGTGGAAGGAATTTTAGAAAGTGAAAGCTGCCCCAAAGGGCCTAAATGTTTGAAATTGCTCCAAATTGTTCTCAAGTGCAAAACAATATCCCTCCTTTTGGTATTATCCATGTCAGCTTTCCATATTTAAATAGCCAATCGCTTAGACCACTCAACTTAATCAGGCATAGTTCTACTGAATTTTTAAAGTTTTGACAACCAAATTTTAAAATTATGAAATATATGTTTCAAAATTAATTTTCATTCTTGAATTTTCTCCTATATGTCATAAAAGTCAGTAAAACACATTTCTTCCAAATCTAGATGAAACCAAACCTAATAATATTATAGTTAAAGAGACCTATCTGATGTGAAAGATTAATCAGAGCACCCCAAATAAGAGAATGCATAATCCTAAAAAAACAGAGCAAACAAATAAAAGATACCAGAGATGGAAGATACCAAGATTAGAGTTTCTTTATCTTCCAACTATAAAGAGAAAGAGAAGGGCAAGCTACCACTTGCCTTTCTTTCCCGAGGCATTGGCAAATTATTTGTTAAATATTTATTTGTGTTGTAGTATATATTACCAAATTCAACAATAAGCTACAACTCGTATAGTATAACCATTAGAACTTAGAAACCACCCTAACTTTTTTTTTTTTTAATGAGTTAGATATGTATCCCTTTCAAAGGGCACCACATTTTTATATCATACAAGATAACAACTCCATCTATTACAACCA